TGCAAACCCGAGACGAAGTCGACGGTTTGCATCTGACTGTCTCGAATTCTCCCGACCCCTCTCGCGTTTATATCAGGCTATGCAAACACGGAAAACGTTTTCTATTGTCTCTGTTCATTAGTCTGTTCATTCACGAAAAAAAGAAAACTAGCAGCGTTTTTCCCGCCTTCTGTCACGCCACTTTCCACCATGCTTTGATCACGTGCTGTAATGAATCCCGAGCTGGGTACAATCCGGCTCAAATATATCGGGACATTTGATTTTAGTCAAGGCCATGCCGGTCCAAGAATCAACCAATGGCAGTCCCTGTTTAGTTGAGTGAAAGTCTAGGAATGTAAATTGATGGTGTATTGCTTGCAGCTTCCAAATATGGTGAGCACCAGCGGCTTATGAGGAATTAGCTGGGGGATTGGAGCCAATACTTTGAATGAATAATATATAGAGGATATTACATGGCCGCCCGGAGATATGAAATTTCTCCTCGAGTGTTGAAAAATTCTTCAACACAAGAAAAGAAATTTCGTATCTCCAAGCGGCCATGTAATGTTCCATTCATTTTATAAACACCAATGAAATACCAAACCATTTCGCCTTAATATTTTTTTAAGTCCTAGAGAAGACGAATGTGTCAGAACTAAAAATGGAACAAAGTAGAAAGCCTTTAAATACAAATTCCTCTTCTTTACAATTTAACAAAGAGCGATCCTAAAATATATATGACTCATAGAATTTTACATCTGTTACATTTCTTAAAATAGCTTTTGCAATACTATATGAACTTATGGTCATGCAAATAAAGCTCGTTGTTTTTGTAAAAGCTTGTGGCTGAAATAGTTTTATTTTCCAGAATTTTGAACAGTACGGTGTATGGTGGTAAACAGTAGGTTACAAACTACTGTTTTACTCTGTAAAACTATTTATTTAGATATTCTGCATTTGCAGATTCAAGAAGTATAGAATAGGCCAATGAAATGATAGTCCAACACTTATAACCCTGACCTACCTCAGTAAATCCTACATGAAAGCTTGATTATCTTGCCTAAGAAGTTTAACTGTTTAGTTAAAAAGACGTTAACAATCTTGTTTCCACTTTCTTACTCTTAAAATATTTTTTTCTCAAGGTTAAGAAAAAAGCGTCATGGACAACATCTCGGAGATTCAACAGACCATTCTTATTGGTGCAGTCGTTGCAACTTTCCTTTTCAACACTGGACGTATTATAAAAGCAGTAGACATCTTTAACGAATGTTTGGTGCTCCTTAACGGTAAAGCTCTAGAGACAATCAAAGAACTTACCACACCACTTGTTATCAAATTTTACCATAAACTTCTTGATGGCTATACTCGTGTGTACGATCACACCCGTGCCACAGAATGTGGTAAAAAGCTTCTAGTGACACTACACAATAGTGGCCAAAAAGAAGTAGAAGGGATGACATTACTTAAACTAGCGAACATCTACTATCAAACAAGCAAATACGAGGAAGCAAAACAGTTTTACGAGAAGGCACTCAGCATCATGATTGAGGCTGGAAATAATCGCGGAGTTGGAACATGTTACGTGAATCTAGGAGCTGTGTTTCAATCCGTTGGTCAATATACCAAGGCTGAAGAATACCTTCAAAAAGCACTAGTGATCAGAAAAGAAATCGGTGACAAAGAAGGAGAAGCATCTGCTTACGGAAATCTAGGAACTGTGTTTCAGTCTGTTGGTCAATATACCAAGGCTGAAGAATACCTTCAAAAAGCACTAGTGATCATGAAAGAAATCGGTGACAAAAAAGGAGAAGCAATTGCTTATGGAAATCTAGGATTTGTGTTTCTTTCTGTTGGTCAATATACCAAGGCTGAAGAATACCTTCGAAAAGCGCTAGTGATCAGCAAAGAAATCGGTGACAAAGAAGGAGAAGCATCTGCTTGCGCAAATCTAGGAAATGTGTTTCAATCTGTTGGTCAATATACCAAGGCTGAAGAATACCTTCAAAAAGCACTAGTGATCATGAGAGAAATCGGTTTCCAAAAAGGAGAAGCATCTGCCTACGGAAGTCTAGGAACTGTGTTTCAATCTGTTGGGCAATATACCAAGGCTGAAGAATACCTTCAAAAAGCACTAGTGATCAGCAAAGAAATCGGTGACAAAAAAGGAGAAGCATCTGGTTACGGACAACTAGGAACTGTGTTTCAATCTGTTGGTCAATATACCAAGGCTGAAGAATACCTTCAAAAAGCGCTAGTGATCAGCAAAGAAATCGGTGACAAAGAAGGAGAAGCATCTGCTTACGGAAAGCTAGGAACTGTGTTTACATCTGTTGGTCAATATACCAAGGCTGAAGAATACCTTCAAAAAGCACTAGTGATCAGGAAAGAAATCGGTGACAAACCAGGAGAAGCATCTGGTTACGGAAATCTAGGAACTGTGTTTCTTTCTGTTGGTCAATATACCAAGGCTGAAGAATACCTTCAAAACGCACTGGTGATCAAGAAAGAAATCGGTGACAAACAAGGAGAAGCATTTGTTTACGGAAATCTAGGAAGTGTGTTTGAAGCTGTTGGTCAATATACCAAGGCTGAAGAATACCTTCAGAAAGCTCTAGTGATCAGGAAAGAAATCGGTGACAAAGAAGGAGAAGCAGCAGATTACGGAAATCTAGGAACTGTGTTTCTTTCTGTTGGTCAATATACCAAGGCTGAAGAATACCTTCAAAAAGCATTAGTGATCATTAAAGAAATCGGTCACAAAAAAGGAGAAGCAACTGCTTACGGAAATCTAGGATTTGTGTTTCTTTCTGTTGATCAATATACCAAGGCCGAAGAATACCTTCAAAAAGCACTAGTGATCAATCAAGAAATCGGAGACAAAGCTGGTGTTGGAGCTTCATACTTAAATCTGGGAAAACTTTGTCGAAAATTTCAACTTACTGCACAGAGTCAAGAATTTACTATTAAAGCACTTGAGATGAGTTACGAAATAGGGAGCATTGAAATGCAGTTTGATAGCCACCTTGCCATTGCTCTGAATGAGTTAGTGGCAGGAGGAAGCATAACTGAAGTTCTGCGAAATCTGCATGAAAGCATTCAGAAGTGCGAAGAAATGCATGATTTTTTAAGAGTGAAAGATCCATTCAAAATTTCTTTTTTTGATGAGCATGTGTCCCCTTACCTTCTCCTTTGTAGGTTGTTAATTGCTACAGGCAGTTATTATGAAGCTCTTTACGTTGCCGAGCTTGGACGATCCAGAGCACTGACAGACGTACTTTCAGATAATTACTCTGTGGAAAAAGGGGTATCAGTCAAGCCACAGTCATGGATTGGCATTGAGAACATCATGAACAAAAATGCACTTAGTTCTTGTCTTTATGTTTCCTGCTTCGATGATAATATGTACTTTTGGATCCTCAAGCCGAACAAAATTATAGTTTTTCGACAAACGAGACTCAAAGAAAGAGCAGATAAAGTGTTTGGAAATCACACATTTGGTGGCTCTCTTGATTTACGTCAAGACCAATGCGAAGATCGATCATTATTTTCATGTGTAATTTCCCCGCTATCATGCAAACAATCTCAGAGTGACAGCTTCGAATCTTTGCGTCTTATCGAAGAAGAGGAAGACGAAAATCACGACTCTAAACCTTTAACCCTTGCTGGTGGTTACAACATGATAGTCGCTCCTGTAGCTGACTTACTCCAAGAATCAGAAATCATTATTATACCGGATAACTTGTTGTTTCCTATTCCTTTTGCTGCTTTAAAGGATGGTAATGGAAAGTATTTATCGGATACTTTCAGGATTCGTATTGTCCCTTCGTTGACGACTCTTAAGTTGATTCAGCTCAGTCCAGGAGACTACCATAGTAAAACCGGTGCACTGATCGTAGGGGAGCCAGAGGTTAGTGATGTATACTACCAAGGACACATACTACAGTTAAACTCGCTGCCTTGGGCGAGAAAGGAGGCAGAGATGATTGGGCGACTGCTCGGTGTTCAACCGTTGCTTGGAAAGGATGCAACTAAGCAGGCAGTCCTGGAAAGCATGGATTCAGTAAGTCTTATTCACTTTGCTGCTCATGGTGATGACGAACGTGGAGAAATAGCTCTTTCCCCTATAAGCTCCTGCGGAACTCCACACGAAGAAGACTACTTATTAACGATGGCTGAAATTTCACAAGTTCGACTAACAGCCAAGCTGGTTGTCCTTAGCTGCTGTCATAGTGCAAGTGGTCAGATTAGAGCTGAGGGAATTGTTGGAATCGCTCGAGCATTTCTAGCATCGGGCGCACGCGCCGTGCTGGCGGCGCTGTGGGCTGTAGATGACAAAGCTACCATGTGGTTTATGAATCGTTTTTACGAGCACCTTGTTCGTGGTGAAAGTGCCAGTGAATCTCTTCATCAGGCCATGAAGTCGATGAGAGAGACTCGCTTTTCTGACGTCAAGCAGTGGGCACCCTTTATGCTGATTGGAGATAATGTGTCATTCAAAGGTTTGTATTTGATATCATTTTTAGGTTTTTTAGTTATCTTAGTCAAAATTTGTGAAATTGATGTTCGTGACACTACGCATCATTTTGAAAAATATTATGAAGGGAGTTATACTGAGTTTTCGTAGTTTTTTTTTTTTATTTATTGTCTTTTCCAACCCTGGTGATGGAAGTGAGGCATCTGGAGAGAAGGCCGAATTCAATTGTTTTCCGATTTTTATGGAATATTTCGTAAAGGATGCTCGAATCTCTAACTTACTAAAATGAAAATGTAGAAAACGATAGTTGAGATTCCAAAGAGCATATGAAAATAATTTATTAATATCCCATAAAATTCCGAAAATAATCCCTGGGGCTTATATTTTTCAAAAGCCCTTTTTGAGGGGCTTATTTTTGGAGGGGCTGATATTCGGAGGGGCTTATTTACGGAGGGAAATTTGCGTTTCAAAATCGATTGGACTAGCCTTATAGTTGGAACTAAATTTACCGTTTTTGCTTTGTTTTACTTTGAGGGCAATTTTCGAAGTACAAGCCCTGGGGGGGCTTATATGCGGAGGGCCGATTTAACGGAGGCTTTTTACGTTACCGGTTTGGGGGGCTTAGTTTTGTAGGGGCTTATACATGGAGGGGCTTATTTTCGGAATTTTACGGTATCACAGAGAAGAGAAGTAAGTGTTAAACACACTTTTTCTTGAGGGTGTGCCTGATGAAAGAAAAAATGTAGTCTGTTCCACGCTCCGCGACGGAGTCGCTGCGCACGCCTTTCACCGCTTCATCCCTACTATTCAAGAGCCTGGAACAGGCTTTAAAAAACGCTGCTAGTATTTTTAGTGAGAGTGAAGAATGATCATTGCAGTAAATTTTCCAATTTAAGCAATTGGAAAGAAGAAGCCTGAAAAAAATCAGGGCTTCAACGGGATTCGAACCCGTGACCTCCGCGTTGCTGGTGCGTTGCTCTACCAACTGACCTATGAAGCCACACATAGCTCAGTTGGTAGAGCAACGCACCGGCAACGCGGAAGTCACGGGTTCGAATCCCGTTGAAGCCCTGATTTTTTTCAGGCTTCTTCTTTCCAATTGCTTAAATTGGAAAATTTACTGCGATGATCATTCTTCACTCTCATCTACAACCGCAGTTCAAAAATGAATTATTTCATATACTTCACAGTATTTTTAGTCTTAAAAAGATTCATCCTCAGGGAACCAGAGATAGTGCAGAGGGTATACAAACTAATTACCGGTGGGCGAGAGTTTGAAAGCAGACGGAAAGATTCCCTGGGCACTTAATCTAGCTCAAGCAGGTGCAGGGGCATTTGATTTTGCAACTTCTATTTTATACAGGTATTTTTCTGGCAAATGAGCTAAGGGCAACTCCCTTGTCGATTTCGTGTGTTCTTAAAAGGAGGTCATTTTCGTCATCAATCGCCTCGTTTATGATGTTTGTTCCCCGGAGAAATCGAAAGATTTAATATGCCCCCAAGAAAGTATTTCATTCGATTCGATTGGGTTTTACGATACGTTTTGCTTTAGTTCTCTTCGTAGTCGCGATTTTGTACCAGAGGAGATGGCTGATATTCTGGGCAACCATTGCACAGGCTGCTCGGGCTGCTTGGGCGGCAAGGGATAGCATGGTTGGCTTGATATCAATCTCCTGCTTGAAGCTATAATCTGATCAGTATACAAACAGCAAACGAATCGAAGGAATTTGAAATGAAGTAAAATATTCTCACTGCATACATAATTGGCCGGTGACGCGGGAATTAAGTAACTCTTTTAAATTCCGTGGTGTTGGGCCTGCGCGCTCGTGCCATGATGCATTGCGGCCCTTGGTTAGAATTGCTTAGTTTTTGCCCGCCTCTTGGCTAGTTCAACGGGGTTCAGTGGAAGTGACTTAGAAGTTTCGCCCCTCCCACCTCCCCTGGTGGCGGTTGACGTCGCTTACTCTCATTATTCGGCATGCCTGTTGTCCTGGCAGTCGCGGTTGCCTCCCACAACTTATTTCTCCGTGTCGGAACAATAGGTATGCAATGCGAATATTATACCAATCACATTTAAGCTGAAAGTGAGACAATATGACTTTACTGAATTTTTAGCATGTAAATGATTCCTCAAAATGTAAAGGTTTTGCTATTTGTTTGACTTTGAAAAATCTGTGCCAGATATTTAGGTAAAACATTTAGCGCAACGAGCAACAGAAGCATGTTGATCGATGGCTAAAATAAATCGTGCAAAGAATACATACGAAAGGGAAACGTCATGATTAGTTTTTTTTATTTGCATCGCAGGAGCATTTGATAAGAGCAGTTTGAAAGATGGCGAAGGTGCAGCGGAAACAAAGAACTTGTAAACTGAGAGGAAACATGTTGAAGTTGACAACTACTGTCACAGCTGTACATAAATGTATATACGTAGGATCTCAATGAAGAAGTCTTGTATGAGACCGCAAAGTGAACAGGTGATAACTGTACTTTTTAAAGCAGGCGTCATTTTGATACGTTACGGGGGAAGGTAAAGCATGAGCTGAGCGTGGAGCACAAGGAGAATGGATAGCCAGGACCAGTTAGTCGTTCTCATAGTGGAGACGTCAAAGTTGTATAGACCTTCTGAACCTGCGTCTACTATATTAGTCAGGGCTTCTTTCGTTCTACGTGACTTCTGCTACTCTCGTCAAGACCTGCCCTTCAATTCACGCTTGCTTCAAATATACACACCACATGTGATGGTTTTCAGGCGAGATTCTGTGTTACCAATTTTGACATATTGCTTACGAGTAGTTACATATATATAGCTTGAAAACCATGCATAGGGGAGTCCTCGGATCCCATACTAATATAATTTTCTAAGAGAATATGGTGGTTAATTGTATCAAAGGCCTTGGAAAAGTCTAAACAGATACCACATGTTATTTTTTGATCATCAACTGCTGACTTTAATTTTTCCACAGTTTCTAGAGTAGCATATTCAGTGGAATATCCCTTTCGAAAGCCAAATTGGAAGTTAAAAAGTAGACATTCTCTTTCCAGATAGGACACAAGTTGGTCATATACTAGTCTTTCCAGTACTTTACTAAAAGGAAGAAATAACTGCTATTGGCCTGTAATTTCCTTACTCAGATAGACTACCACTTTAAAATATTGGGGTTACTTTTGATATCTTAAAGATTTCAGGAAACTCCCCTGATAATATTGATTCATTATATATTTCAGTAAAGGGTGCAGACAGCTGTTTAGTTGCTTTTTTAATAAGCTTGTTAGGAACAATAAGGGATGCTTTGTTTCCTTTTAGCCCAGCAAATAATGTAAATACTTGTGTTTGGGTTACTGGAGCAAGGTAAAAACTGTTTGAAGGCGTAGATTCTATATATTGCAAAGGGTCTGTATGATCAGTTTTGATTTCCTTTGCTAAAGTTGGCCCAATGTTTACAAAGAGGTTATTGAATAATTCGGCAATGTCCTTTTCTTGTGTAAAAGTCCTGTTATTGTGAGAGATTCTCGTGGGGAAAGTTTGACCTTTGGTTTTCCTTTTAACAAGGGTACCAATAAATTTTCAAGTTTGCTTAAGGTTGTCTTTGTACTTGTACTACAAATTGCATGTTATAGTATTCTGTCTCACTTTTATTCTTAAGATGTGAAAGAATAGCTGCATAATGTTTATATTCCCCAATTTTTTGTAAGTGCTTGCTTAAGAAATGCGTACGGTACATTTTCTGTTTCCTTTTTACCGATTTTAGGATACCCTTAGTGAGCCATGGCTTATTAAGTTGCCTTTGCTTGCTTTGGCTAGCCAGCTTGATAGGCGCATGTTTGTCCACAATTTTATTCAGGGTATTGATTGCCTCCTGTATCTTTTCATTTAGATTCTTTTCTGGGTTGAGAATTTCGTGCCAATCGATCAGTTTTATATCATCTAAGTATAGATCTTTATTAAATTTAGAGTAGTCTCGAAAATGTATTTTGTTACTATCATTCCGTGTAGGCTGGGTTCTGACTAAGCAGAAAATCGAAAGATGATCTGTTATATCAACTGCCAGGATTCCTGCTGTGAAATTTTGTAAACAATTTGTATATATATCGTCAATGAGTGTTGCTGTGTGATCAGTAAGCCTCGTAGGTTTAGTAATGATCGGTAAGATGTTTATTGTTATTAAAGCATATCTAAAAACTCTTCAGTTTGAGTATGTTCATTGAATTTCAGGAAATTTATATTCATATCTCCAAAGATGTAAATTTCGTGTCTGTTGGAATTAATTGTTTTGATTATATCATTTAGTTGGTTGCGAAACTGTTCTAAATTACAAGTGGGATGCTTGTAGATACTAGACTACGAGTAGTCCCCCATTTGTCCTCAGGGATAGTAGAGCGAGCGAAACGCGAGCGCGCGTGAAAATCACCCCACGCGAGAAAAGGCGACACGCAGCGGGGAGAGAGTCGTCTTTCTCGCGTGGAGTGATTTTCACGTGCGCTCGCGTTTGGCTCGCTCTACTATCCCTGAGGAAAAATGGAGGACTACTCGTCGTCTGTGTAGATACAACCTATTATGATCTTCTTTTTATTATAACCAGCATCAATTTCTGCCCAGCAGGATTCAACTAGTGCTACGTCAAATTTAATGTCAGGCCTAGGTACAGCTTTAAGAGTATTAGCTATATATAAAGCAGCTCCACCTGCGTTTGTTGGCGAGTCCGTGTGAAAAAACTTATAGCCTTTGATATTTACATTAGAAATAGACTTCTCACCTAATTTAGTTTCTGTAATTCCAAGTAAATCCAGCTTGAGGTCAAGGGAGCATAATAGTTCTTCTAACAGATTTAGGTTTTTAGATAAACTTCTAATGTTACAAGTGAAGAATTGAAAAAGATTTTGCATCTGAATTTACAAGCATTTTATTAAAGCTAAGGACTGAATAATATTCTGAGCAGGGGGTATTTAACATTAAATCTGGGTCGCACTAGTCGAATTTACTTGGATTTGGAAGGAGATCGTAAAGGTCAAGACCATGACGCCTATCCAGCCAGCTGCCAACCGTAGCATGAAATTCTCTATCAGTTAAATCATAAAATGGTCAACAACTACTTACGTTTTCCTGGTAATAAGCAATTTTTGCCTCCGTAATAATATAAGTTTATAGAAGTCATTAAACTGATAGCTAATTAATTGAGCTCGTCAAGAAACTCTTGGAATTCCCCATGGGTTACGAAACATTTCGTAGTGGAGCTCTCCGTTTTCTTCAGCATTATTTTACCGTTAGCCGTCCAAATAAACTTGTAGTTGTGGTCGCGCTTGAATTGTAAGATTCTGCCCAGTAGTCGTTTTCTGTATGGCTTTAAGCTTTCATTGACATGAATTTGTGCTTTATGACTTACAACCGCAGATTCCGGCTCGCAGACCACAGACGGGAGATCTTTAGTCCGCTTAGATTTTAAGTTTTCCTCTTGCTGTAAATTTCGTCTCTTTTCTCTCTTCGAGTGAACTTGACAATTAGTCGATCTTTCACTTTCTTCGTTGGCGGTAAATGATGAGCGATCGATATATCGTTTTCGTTGAGGTTCACTCCCATAATCTCAGACATTTCCTTGACCAGCAACGCTGGGCTGTCATTAGGTACGACCGGAATACCGGTTATTTCGAGACAGTCTCCGCGCGTACTGCTCGAGCTCATCCAACTTGACTTCGACATTAAAACCATCGTTGCCGAGCTTGTTTGTGTCTTCGTTGATCTCTTTAATTTGGCTTTTCACGCCTTCGTTGCGTTCTTTTACGTAACTCCTCTTTGTGTCCTAAATACGAAGAAAAACGCGTTAGTCTCGCTACTTGCGCAAGCGAGACTAATGATTTCTCTTGTTTTAAGGAAGTATTTTCTCTTTTCAGCAACAAACTGCAGAATGGGTGAAAGCTTTCCGTGACACCAGCATCCCCTGTTCGAATGACTTCTCGGTGACCGGAGACCTTGGGAGACCCTGTGAAGATAAGGGACTGGAACAAGCTGGGTTACCAACGGACAGTTTCTCTATTCAGAATGGCATCATTATCAGGTAATTATTAACCTGAATCACTGGATAATGCAATTCAGGAGCTCTGATTGGCTTAGCCATTATGCCATGCTCTCCAAAAATGGTAACCCTACGCGTCTGCTCAAAATTAAAAACAAACCGATAATCGGTTGTTTTTACAAATAAAGACGGGAAGAATTCTCGATATTTTGTGGGCGTTTTGAATAAAGCAATTATTCCACTCGCGCTTGTTTGGATATGAAATGATTACAGCCAACGAGCACTCGTGGAATAATTGTTAATTAGAGTTGTTCGGTCAGAGCGAATCGCCTGTATAGAGGTTTCGTCCTTACTGTTTTAATGTGCGCTGGTGCATGTTTTTGTGTTACAGAACGTCTAGTCACCTCACGAGAGAATGCAACTACAGAGGCCGTGTAACGTGATGGACGAACCCTGTTGACAATCCAGGATAAGTTCTACTGTGCGGCCATCATAGACAATAAAAACTACAAGTTTTCGCCAAGAGGAAGCTACTTTGCCCCTAAAGAAGGCGACTACGCATCGTTGATCGAGTACGGACGCAGCCTTCCGCTCATTGCGCATTCTGAGGTATTTGGAATGCACGCCAAATGCAGACATCAGTAAGAACCAAAAGGAAACCCAACAGTTGTTCAACAGCATCCTTTTGACCCAGTCTCGAGCTTCCGTCAAAGGTGGAAAATCCGACGACTAGATACTCTTTGGGGTGGCTGAGGATATTTTACACAAGAACTTTGACATGGAAGCGGTACTGCGGAAATACCCCACCACCTATACGCAGAATATGAACACGGTATTAGTGCAGGAAATGGTCAGGTTTTACCGGCTAACGAGAAGTCGTGCGATCGTCGCTTACCAACATACAGAAAGCTGTTAAGGTGAGTGAACCTTCAGATAAATTGAATAGCTATTTTTATAGAGTTCTTGTTTGAAGTTTTGACTAAACGTGAAGGAGAATCTTTATTCCTTCACATTCTCTAAGGCAGACCGTAGCCATTGCGACGGGAAGTGTCTGCGCGCCTTATAGAGAGTCAGAGAAAATGACTGAAAATGACTTAAGGTCGGTACACACTAGGCGACAAGTTGCAGCAACATGTCGCGGCGACACGTTGCAGCGACAAATCGCTTCGTGTGTACTGGAGAATTTGTGTGAAAATCTTTGTCGCTGCAACAGAATTTGTCGCCGCAACAAGTCGCACAGATTCAGTCTGATTTGATTTTTTGCGACTTGTTGCAGCGACAAAATTCTGTTGCGGAGACAAAGATTTTCACAAAAATTCTCCAGTACACACGAAGCGATTTGTCGCTGCGACGTGTCGCCTCACCTTGTTGCTGCAACTAGTCGCCCGACCTGTACACACGGAGTGATCTGTCGCCGCGACGTGTTGCAGCAACTTGTCGCCTAGTGTGTACCGACCTTTACTCTAGGTGTCCAATGCATAGAGGGTCAAATAAGACAGAGACTAACTCTTGATGTCTGTTTAAAGAGAGTTGACTGTATTACTGGACCCTCTTGAACTTGTCGCTGACTGAAAGCAGAAATACAGTTTCTCCTGGGGTGGAAATAGTACGTCAGGCAACCTCTGTTATTTCAAATCATTGTGCGTTCATCTGTGTGCGATATTGGACGATATGTTGCTCACTGCACTTGTGTCTAGGAAATCTACCAGAGACATGTTACCGTTTCCTCTCCCCCGTCCCTGCCGGGTATCTCTTTTTTTCCTTTGTCTATGGGGTAGGCAACTTACAGGATGTTGTTTTAGAATGGGATTCACTAAGCCGGTTTACCCGACCTTTTATATGATCCCTAAACATTGTTCCACAGGGCCTGGTTGTTATGTCCTCTGAACTAGAGGAGGAAGCGAGCGGCATCCTTAAAGGCAAAATCCCTGGCCTGTTGATGAAGAAGTCCTACCCATCTCTTAAACTACTCGGCAGTTACGTCAATGATCTGATTGCTCGCCTCAAGTTTCTTCAAGAGTGGTATGACAATGTCACAATGGAGCGCCTCCCGTGTTCTGGGTATCTGTTTTTTTCTTTATTCAGGCCTTCTTACCGGGATCAAAGCAGAAATGCGCCAGAAAATACACCATTCCTATTGATCTCCTAACGTTTGACTTCGAGGCTCTTGGCGACAATAATTGCGAAACTCCACCCGAGGGCAGTGTCTTTGATGGAAGGCTCTCGATGGGATAGAGAAAAGAGAGTGATTGGAGAGTCGTACGGGAAAGCTTTGTATGATGGCATGCCTCTTATGTGGCTCAAACCCTGCAAGAAGGAAGACATTGTTGACCGGCCGCATTTTGTCTCCCCTGTTTACAAAACAAGCGAGAGGAGAGGTACGCTCTCTACCACAGGCCACTCCACTAACTTTGTGATGGACATGCGCCTGCCATCTGATCAGCCACAGTCCCATTGGATCATGCGTGGTGTGGCTCTTCTTTGCCAGTTGGATGATTAAGGAAGTGTTACATGCAGTATTAACGTGCACTCAAGAAGTGAGCTATGCAGAATTAACGTACAACTTGTATATAGTCCTCATTCAGTTTATGGTGGTAAAGTTTGTATCCTGAATTTAGAACCGACTGATTTTGTCTGCTTTATTCAAGCTGGAGTAGTAACAAGTATGGTCTGTACGCTGTAAATACGCTCTTCCATACTTAGTATTGACAAGTAGTAAATATACTGAGCGGTTGTAGTAAGGAATGGATTTAACAATACTCCGGGGCGTTTATTATTTTTGACCAAGTTGTTAACTTTGCGCCCTCCTTTTACCGCAAGATTTTTTTTCAACTTTTTGGTCTGAAGGGATATTCATCGCACGACATCTGCAAAAACACTTTCACTACTATACTACAATGATTATTACCTTCGTTATCATATTCACGATCCTTGCATTCAGAGTCATTGTCAAAGAGGTTCTTCAAGGGTTTTTTCCCTCAAATTCGGAAGAGACACGAAGGTTATTTTACCGACGCCAGTTTGTTTGTTCATCCTTTACGCGGTGATGGCCGGAACCAACGAGATATACGTAACAATCATAGGCGACCTTCTTGTTCTCTTGACGCCAGTTTAAACCGAGAGGCCCGGGTGTTCGGGGTACGAAGCCGGAATGAAATGTTCAAAGTGAAATAGAAAATAGTCTGTCTCTTTAACTTATCATTGATTATAACCTCCTTAGTCTAGTTATCTTACTCTACCCCTCAATGCCCCGCAAGTTTAAGATCGTGGATCGTTTCCAGCGCATGCGCAAACCACATTTTGCCCTCGCAAAGGTATGCAACATTTTTGTCAACCTCGTTCCCAGGGTTCTCTCCTACCCGTCCCTGGGAACGAGGTTGTCCTCAGTCCATTTACGGGTTGCGTCAAGTCAGTGAAAAAACTTAGATGTGAAATGAGCTATCTATATTATCATTAAAAAAATCATTTTTGTGATGAAGACTGTTTCTGCACTTGGTCTCGTTTTGAAAGTGAGGATTTTCTGGTTTTTGGAAGTTGTTAAAGGCCTGTTGACAGCCTGCCGAGTATCAGGCGTTTCTGGAGGAAAAAGGGGAAAAGAAAAGCGAAAATCTTCTGTCTCGTAGCCCCTTAGAAAAGCCAGATACTCAGACTAGCCTATTGAAGGACCAGTGTATAAGTGTCGTATTACGCAACTATTATTTTAAACTGATGGATCCGTAGTTGAACCCGGCCAGGGCCTGCGCAGGGGGAGGGGCTGGGGGAGCCAGGGTCCCCACTTTTTGAAAAATAAAGAAATAAAATTAAGTACAGTGGAACCTCGATATAAAGAAGGGTCAAGGGAGTGGCATAATGTGTTCGTTATAACGAGGTTCGTTAACTTATATCGAAAATTAAAAACTGCTCGGCGGGCCCTGCCATCTAATCTTTGTTCAAATAACCAGCCCTAAAGTTTTAATTTCTATACTTTTAGCTCGTACCCAGATCGCACTCTGTCTTTGCAAGGATCCGCCTTTCACAAAGATAGTCAGCAGGTGCGTGAACGCGTTCACCGATCAAGGAGCACTTGTTGCGTGTTATTCATGCTTGCGTACTACAAAAGCGCCTGTTGGAACGTCTAAGGAAGACTGAAACAACCAGTAGGGCGTTTAAAGAAAGTTTTCAATTTGTTTCAAATTAGCCTTTTTCCATATATATTATAGTCAAATTTACCTAATTCAGCACGAAACAAGTCGGTAATTCCCGTGTTTAATGTTTAAGAAGGCTTTATTCCATCCATGTGTGTCCATGTGATCTGTTCGACGATACATATTTAACAGCCTAGTAGTAGCTCAACCAATCAGAACGCAGCATTGATAATAGCCCACTAGTTGGATTTTACTAATGTCTGTTAACTGTACCTGTTACTGCAACCCGTTAGGCTGTCGGAGATAATAGGCGAATTCATGCACGAATTGTTGCTCTAGGATCCACTGCCGTGACATGTGTCATTTAAAAGTTATGATTGGAGCCTTTTAGAGGGCTACCCATATCCCTATTGACCCTTTGTCTCACGTATTACGGAGAAAGCCATGACTCTGTCGGTGTTTTACCATTATAATGCTTGGACAGTAAGAGTCGATCCCATCGCACCTAAGTGTCAGCAGTCCAAGCCAATTCTCCTCCGATCGAGACATTGTGAATATCAGTGGCATCGCGGACATAGCGTTTTTGTTTCTTGGAATTCAGGGAAAGTCAGGGATTTTTTTCAATTTTGGTTTCATCACACTAGTTAAGAGGCACGGAAGTGTAGTTGAGGTTTGATGTTTGGTTTATGCTGCTTTCAGTCGTCTTTTCACCAGAAACATAACGAGTACTTGAATTAAGAGTGCATTAAAAGTCCTAAACGCACTGAACGCTACAGCCTTTGAGGAAGGAATTTTCATTCAGCCAGGTTTTGTCTATTGCTTGCGTTACTTGTTCGGGGACGAGCTCTCATTTATTTTTCATGTGATGTGACCAAATAGATTCATTACTGGCGTAAACAGTTAAGAAGTCATTACACAGCGAGAACGATAAAACCCTTATTTTCACGCTTCACAGGACACCAGCCTAGAGGTACGACAGGCTTTGATTCAGGAGTTAACCATTTGAACACCAAAGAGAATTTCATTTTGGTTGTATGATCCCTGTTTGGGTAGAACTAGTCGATCCGATCATAGCTGAGTGTCGGTAGTCCAAGCGAATTCTGCTCTAATGAGATTTTGTGAATATAAACGCCCAGCTGTCAGTTACATCGTTATGGACAAAGCAGTTTTGTTTCTCGCAATTTTAGGGAAAGTCCCGGACAGATTTGCATAATATGTCACAAACAAACTTCATTTCAGTTTTTTGTAAAAAATGTTTGTATGCGCGGATGGTAGTTCTTTTTACTTTCTAAAAAAGCGAAACAGTTTAAATTTTCGTTCGTTTTGCGTCCTGTAATATTGGCGAAATGACTCTTTTCCGAAGAAAGATTTTGCTAAGATTGTTTTGACTATTTTGAGACAAATAATGTGAACTTGCCTTCTTTACCCTGGCTAATTTCGTTTCCAGTGAGGTGCATACAAACTTCACACCATCATTTAATAAATAATAAAACTGCTAAGCTGCATGTTGACATTTTCTCATTCATATCTGTCAGTGCATCATGCAGTTTTTGAAAATATCTTGGTACCGTTCAGGAGAGATATCATAAAGAGAAAAGAGAATTTTTTTATATCCAGGCACCGACAGTTTTAAGACCGGGAACATGGACAAACCGTCGGCTGATTATATTATACAGATATAGCAGTCTCCTCCTCAGGCGCTTCGTTTTTCGCAAGGTAGAGGCGAGCGACTGGTGATGAACTGCAAGGGACCATGGGAAATGTACAGACGGCAGGGGGGAAGCCCGTTTTCTCCTTCCCGCCCTCCTTTGCGCGCACATGTTCATCGAGAGGGAGGTGTCTGGGTACGAGGCAGCATATATATGCTGCATATGCTAGTGGAATGACTCGTTTTGGACTATTCGTTGTCGGCTCCTTAACTCGACACCAAAAATGTACACATTAAGATATTTATATTAGACATGCATTTTGGAAATCGGTTTTAACTATTTGGCATCCAGTTCTGAATTTGTTACAGCTTTTGTTTCTTGGAATGCAGGGAAAGTCCCAGATTTTTCCACATCTGATAAAGACACGAAAGGGCGGCTGTCTTCGAGGTAAGTAGCTTGGTTTATAAAAATAAAACTCATCTTACCTTTTTCTATTTCATATATCTTACTTGAGATTTTAATTTTTCGCAGTAAGTTTCCTGAATTGCGATTGTGTATAACAGACTCAAAAAACTCGACCTCGATTAGTAGGGATCGTTTGTCGTGTGATTTCAAAAGTTGGAAGCAACTCTTTGAAGAGCTCATACAATCAAATCGTTTCGCCTTTACGAAATAGATTCCCTTAAAAGAAAAGCCGGGTAGATATTGAAATTAACAAAAAAAGAAACCTACGTCTATTTCATGCATGTTAATTAAACTGCGTATTCCTTTCTTGGTATCGTTATCAGCGTACGAGGCTTTGATTTCTGATCGTAAAATGCGTAGAGTCCTAAAGCTTTATTGTACTTGACTGTACTCTTAGAGATAGATTTCCTGGTAAGCTCTTGGTAGTGTAGCATACATATTATGTTAACAACATAAATCATTTCCGTTTTTTTTTCTTATGTTTGTATTGGAGCATGTTAGTCCTTTTCACTTTCTTGGAAAGCAAAACAGTTCCAAATGTCGTTCGTTTTGCAGGGTTAATATAAATGGAATTAGGTTTTCAGAGCGTAAGTGTTATAATACATCTTGGAACCGCTACATTCGATTGCTGGGTTCGTTAACCTTGCACAGCGAAACAGCCGTTGAGAACTTCATAGCAAGTCAGGCGCCACAAACTTCTTCGGAGGAAAGTGAATAGTTTGAGTTCCCCTTAACACCAAGAAAAATTCCCAATATTCGCTTGCGGTTAATAAATCCCCGCGATTTCTATTTTCATACGCGCGCTCGACGATCTTAAAAGAGAAAATAGAGGATATGGGAACAGGCTAGCCTTTCCCAGGTTTGGGAGATTTCCAGGCAATATTTGCTCTTTCCAACAAATTTTACAGAAAAAAGTCGTTGGGTGTCCCTGGTATGAAAGTTCCAAACGATTCATCAGTAGGACATGCTGCCTCGCGACACGTCGTGTATGTAAAAG